TACATGTATTTTAGAACAATAGGTGACTCAGCAGTGGTAGAGCTGCTGAGTCAGCTCTACCACAGGATGCACAGAAATCCTGTTATAAAACCTCCTCAAGGTCCACAAAGTATCTATGTAATGATAAAATGGGTTCAGATGGAGAAAAAGAAAGAGATTTGTTAAATCATTATTTGGTAAATCATTAGGTTTAATCAGTCATAATTTTGCTGTCATGTCTGAACTGAATGACAAAGTATTAATGTTCAAATAAACAAAGAAGTTTTCTTAAAGTCAAGCAGCATCAGAAGCTTGATGACAGAGACGAGGGAGAGAGTTCTGCAGACAGAACAACCATGACAGGTTCTGATGTTTCTTTCTCAGAATCAACTTCCTGTTTTTCTAACAGGAAGTTTCACACTTTAATCAGACTGAGTCATCTGGACCCTGCAGACTCAAGCTTCTTGCTGCAGATCTGATGGACCAGCTGAGTTTCTACCTGCAGTCTGAGCAGCAGCTGGTCTCTCTGAGGATGTCTGAGGTTCTGATGGGGCCCAGGCGGTCGGAGCTGGACACAAACACAACATCAGGGATCAGGTTCAATCAAAACAAACTTCTTTCCAGATTATGTTCTACTGAACATCTGAAAAATACCAAAGTTAGAAACTAAATTTTAGTGATTTAGTTACCTAAATGAGTGAAAAAGCTTCACTTCAGACTAACAGAGTGTCTAAGCCCAACACTTTAATTAATGTTTAGATTTGAGTTATTTTTATATTAAAATATTAATGGGGTTAGTGAAAAACAAGAAAAGTGTTTGTGTCATAAATTACAGCCAGTAATAATTTTAACAGGGAGAATTTTAGCTGCTAGTCTCTGAAATTAGATGTTTGTTGATAATAAACTGAACTGTTTCCTCTGACAGCTCACCGTCTGCTTCAGTCCGGAACCAATTCTATCCATCAAAGCTGACAACATTTTAGGAAATAAAGCAGTTCATTAATTAGAAGATTTTTATCAAAATCCTTTAAACGTTTGAATTGTAATTTGATGGTTTTGTCCAGTTTTTGATAATTGGCTTCAGAAAATAATCATTTAAATGAAAATCTGTGAATTCTCACCTCTTTCAACTGTCAAGTCAACATGATGCTTTTCATCACTGAACCATCCAGGTATCTCTGCCCTGCATCCGTATCGTCCAGCATCTTCCTCTGTGAGGATGAGGATGGTCAGAGAAACGTCTCCTTCATCCAGTCGTCCCAGTAGCTGATACCTGCTGGAAGCTCTGGTCTCAACTTTATGTCCGTCTGTAGAGAGGAGCTGATTGTTGCACTTGCTTTTCGGTATCTCTCCTCGACCCCAGCAAACATGCACTGCTCCTTTAGTCTTTATATCATAATTACAGGGCAGAGTCACATTCTGACCCGTCTGACCAACAACTCTCCTGCCGTCACATCCTGACACTGAAAACAGAAGATTAACAATCAGTGAAATGTCTCCATCTCTGGCTCACTTCACAGACAGAAACCAGTTTATTGTAATTTAGTGGTTTAATGTGATTTAATGGTCATCATTGACCTCAAAGACTCATAAAGTCTGAAACTAAAGACTGAAGCTACAACATGTCAGAGATCAGCAGAGCTTCGTCTCTGCGGCTGATTTGACCTGAGAAAGTTTCTAACAAGAACCAGAACCTTCAGAGACCAGATGGACGTTCTTCATTTCAAAGAACAAAAACCCTGAAAATCCTGCATGTAGAAACACACAGAGCTGCAGCAACACAAACCAGATCAGAACAGGATGATTACCTGTGAGCAGCGCGATCAGCAGCACGACCTTCATGATGAACAAACAGCAAGTTTTGACTCCCAGCTGCTGAGGCTCTGCTGTCACCACAGCTGCTCACTGCTTCACACAGGGCGTGACAAGAACTAAACCTCAGAGTGGTCTGAGGGGAAGTAGAGAGGGCTGAGGGACGGAGAGCTTCCAGGAACTGGAGACACCAAACCAGACCTGCTGCTTCCTCTCATCTTTTAATAAACAGCTAAACGACATAAACAGCTTGTAATAAATCCCCGCCTAAACGGAAGATTGCACAAGATTAAACAGCCTGTCCTAATTAATACCAGAAAAAAAATCTATTTGAATGAAAAGGTAAAACAATCAAACACATCAGCAGGTGGGAGGGGCACGCTATATTTAATACACAAAAATCACCTGTTCTAACCAAAATTTAAAAAGCAATCAGTCATTCTTGCAGTCCTTCATATTAAATAACCTAAACCAAAACTGAAGCATCCCTCCGATACTCTAAATCAATTTCATCTATTTCACAAAGAGAATTAAAAAAATTATCCAATAAAAAGTCCACAGTTATGCGCTAGAAATGATCAGATCCACAGAAATAACAAAACATTGGGACCCAAAGGATTCACCAGTCTGCGTCTCTTAAACCACTAAATAAATAAATAAATAAGGAACCATCTCACCGGGTTTCTAATCCAATGGTTTTCCTTCTCCAGGCCTGGAGCGCCTCTGCCAAACTATCTCCAGGAATCAGGACCGATCCATTTGGCCAGCTGTTGATGTGATGGTGGAGGAGTCTTCTTGATCCCTCCAGTTCAAGCTTCACCAAATCTCTGAATCCAGACCAACTCTGGAGCTCCGGTCCGTTCCGCCCCGTCTCTCCACGCCGCTTCACCTGCTGCCAAACCACTGTGTTGTTTTTTATAAGTTCAGTAAAGCTGTAACCCAGGTAATTTACTCCATGGACATTTTGAAGACAAAATATGCATAAAAGACATTCTAGCATCTATAATACATACTATAATACATACACATTTTATGTGTATTTTATTTATTCATGTTTTACTCTCCATGGTTAACCATTTATTTCACAGAATATTTTATTCTATTGTGCTGTCACAAGCTCAAATGTTGTAGAATGTGAACATTTATACAGAATAATTGTTTTTAAACACCTCAATTTTGGGACAAGTTAGTAATCAGTAGCTTATTAGCTTATAATAACATGCCATCATAAACGAAGTAAGGTGTTAAATAGTTCAACAATTTATACAACAGCTAAACAAAATGTGAATTTTATTACTATTAGTCTAGTTAAAATAAAGTAGCCAATGAATTTATATGCTTTGCTATCAAAATAATCTTCTACAACAGGATGTGGAGGGCAATTAATTTTTTCATCGGCTGCATAAAAAATCTGAAATGTGTTGGAGGGCCGAACCAGCAATGAGTCAAATTTAATCTTGACTCATTATATGTTTTATAATGAAATATTTAAAACAGTTTCTTTTGGTAATAAGAAATCAGAATATTCTGTAAATATTTATAAAAGTGAACAAATTGTGGTTTAGATTGAAGCGAAAAATTAAAACAGTCATCACATTTAAATTTTAAATTTGTTAATCTCTTCACAACTGAAATGGTTTGTTATGTTGAACAGCTGACCAACAGATCCGTTGTCACGCCAACCAGTTTGTCCCATTTCAGCTCCAAGCTTTCCAGATGTAACCGGATCCTTTCTGGTTTTATTGAATGATCAGGGCCGTGACACGGGATTTCTTTAAAATGGTTTCTCGATTTATTTCTGACGAGAACAACAAATAGAAACAAAACATGTTATGTGCTGCCCGCTCCAAGGCCTCCACAAAACAAAACTACATAACAAAACTAAGGTTAATTCCTGCTATTTTACAATCACTTAAATATTTACATTACATAATGGATTCATTTATTTATTCATATTCATATGTTGCACCAGTGATGATAAAAATTAACTTAATAGATCTATAAATAAACTTTATGTATTTAGATGAAAAATAAACAGCACACTCCTCTCCCTCAGGACGACATGACAAAAGGATCTAAGGGGCGCAAACGATTTAAAGACAATACCACAGAAGAAGATATAGAAAGGAGGGGTTTATAATCTTAAAGTAACACGGTTAAAACCATGGCAGCTTTGAAACGTGTTTCAGTCAGGTAAGGAACAACGTGTATTACATTTTGTGTAATTATAACAAAAGAAAAATACAACCTGGCAACACAGACATGCATTTCCCTGTTAAGAGCTCACTCCCTGTTGTCTCTTTCATTGACTGCATGCCTGCCAGCTCCTCTGTGATCCTGAAGTCTGCATTAATCCTGAAGTCTGCATTAATCCTGAAGTCTGCATTAATCCTGAAGTCTGCATTAATCCTGAAGTCTGCATTGTCCCGTCTGTCTCAGCTCTCATCCACAGTCAGGGAAAAGGACTCGGTCATCTCAGTTGTAGATGACTGAGTCCATCAGTACTTCAGTACACTGATGTACTCAGTGCTTCTCGATAAAGTGCGGTGGGAGAGGGAGATCTTCTCAAAAACGTCTTTTTTTCAGAACATATTAGTGCAGACGAGTAATTTATTTAGAAATAGTGTCTCTTTGCAAATTACATACAGAAAAACCACAATCGTATAAAAGTTTATTTCTCACTCGTGCTGCTTGGACAGAAAAGGGGAGAGGTGGGATTGGTTTGTTCAGGCAGTCTTTTTTTATTTTAGTCTCTTTGTTCCTTTTAGTAGAAAGGAACAAAAAGGTCCCAAGTGGAAAGTAGCTGCCGTCTCGAGCTGCGCCATCACTAGTGTTTTAGCACTCTGTACACGGCGAAGCCCAACGCTGCGAACACGCCGGCACAGAAGCCGGCCCTGAGCCAGAAGGTGGAGTTGTTCAGGTCCGCCTGGGCCATGTGCCTGAGAGAGGACAGAGGCAGAGGAGGTGAGGGCGGGTCAACACCCAAACAGGAAGCAGCGTGAAGCAGGACCAGCACTGCGGTGATGGACTGTCTCTGAGTTGCCAAATGACAAAGCAAAGCTGAAGGGTTTCCACAGAGGAGAACTTCCTGAATCTGAACCACGGAGGATAAAAATGAGCCTGAAACAGGAACCCGGGCTTTGTTCTGACATTTGGTTTAAAGATCCAGGGTCAAACAACGAGAAGAAGCAGGGAGAGAAACAGGTGGGTGTCAGAAAAGCAGCAAATCTAACAACAAAACTTTATTATCCAATTTCTACGGCAGTCCTGGAGGAATCAGAGAGGGGAAATGAGACAATAAAATAAAAAACAATATACAGTTTTTTTTTTTTTTACAATTTGCCCTTCCTTAATCTCTGGTCTGGACAGCTACCAAACCTTGTTTTAAACACACAGGGAGCTACAAGCTTTGCTTATGTAAAGTTAGTTACCAGAGAAAACTGGCGAAGATCAGGTTGGTGAAAGAGAAAGCAGTAAAAATCTAATTAATCTAATTCAGATGGCATGCTCTCAATATCTTTATCTATCAAAACCAGAATAAAAAAAATTAATTAATGCACTATAACTACATCTCACAGGTATAACTATAAACAATAACTAATGACTAGTAAAGTGTGTTACATTACTAAATAAGCAGGTTTGGAGAGGCTTTCGAAGAACATTATTTGAAAAAGAAAAATCCTTGAAACTTGAGCATTTCTCAACTCTATTACTACAAAATCACATCTTATAATCTCCTGTTTCCTCCAGCGCTGTTTAACATTTGCTAATCAAATAAAGGCAATAAGGAGATGCGAACTAAACAGAAAGCAAAAAAAGCAAAAAGCCAGTTAAAAGTGTAAGAAAAAGAAAACCAAATGAAACACTATGTTGTTCTTGTAAGAATAAAAAGAGAAACCAGACTACAAGCCTTTAACAGTTGTGATATAATAATTTTGATGTAAGATTCAAGACTTAAAACAGGCAAGTTAAATGTGTTAAGTAAAATTTTAGCCAAAAGATTACAACTAAATTAAAACAAATTTGTGGAAGTGAGAATGAGGTTTTTTTTTTACACACATTTATCCTTCGTTACCACTGAAAGAAAAGATGAAGATAAATCCTCCTCCTCACAGCAGCTTTATCCTGACCATGTTGCTTAGTGTGTCGAGGCGAGCCCATGTCCAGTCAGACATTTATCACTTTGATCACATCAAATTCATATATTTGGCAAAAATTCAAATAATGTGAAAACAATTCTCTACAAAAACCTGCTGGCTGTAAACCAAAAACTTAAGATGCTCGACTAAATCCTGCTTATTGAGAAGTGAAGCATGAGGACAGTCAACCTGCAGAGGATCAACAGAACAAACACAAGCTGGTTTTCCTGATAATCTAAAGTTTAAAGCAGATTTTACCCCCAACATCACCAAGCCTCAGTTTACCCAGAAGCCCGTCTGCCATGACTTTTATTTAAACTGATAAATTGCTACTCGCTACTGTGTGATTTCAGTATTTAAGGAACGGGGCTCTAAGAACTGCTACAATGAGATTAAACAAGCACATCCCTTTAAGTGCTTCATAATCCAATCTGAATTCTAATCTGATCAAAGAGCTTTGAGTTTGTAAGATACCGATCAGGATTAGAGAGACTTAAATGACTGAACGAAACCATTCAGCTCTGGTTCATTAGAGACAAAGAGTTAGAGAGACTTTCCTGGGAGATACGGTGGAAACGTGGAAAAGTGGAAACTTGATTTCAGAGACTGAGACCAAACTTGAACATCTTCAGCTGAATCACATCATGTAGAAGTTACGTAATAAAATCAACGGTGTTTAACCTCTTATGGTCAGATAATCTTCCAGAAAAAAGCAAGACAGGTTAGATGAGGAGAAAAGGTTTGGTGGTGTCTTGATACTCACGGGTACATGGCCATGTGGGTGAGTCTGGTGTAGAGGTCCATACTGGGAGCCTCGGTCGTGTTGCAGGTGAACGGCTGCGGCGGGTGGAGCTTGTGCTTGCGGCAGAAGTCGAGGGGCGACTGGCTGTACTGCTGCTCAACCTCGGCCAGGTCGGACTTGGCAGCGACCACGAGGCAGGGCGTCCTGCTGTCTATGAAGTATTCCTACAGGAAGAAATAATCACATGTTTTGCTCTAATACTGATACAGAAAGTTATCAACCTAACCGTCTGGAGCCGCACCTCGTAGACTTTAGCACAGTACTCGAAAGAACGAGGGTCATTGCCGTCGTACACCAGGCAGACCACGTCGCAGGTCAGGTCGGGCTCGGACAGGATGTCGAAATCTGGCGTCACCTCGTGGAGCTGGACGAGAGCGGACAAGAGACGGAGGGATTAGCCGTCAGCCCCGAACTGAAGCCGTAATACAAGGCGATTATTTAGCAGTAAACCAGAGAGTTTCTGCTCAGAATAAAAGGTTCTTACCAGCAGGTACTTCTCCTGTTCGTCAACATAGGTCGTACTGATGACATAGTTGGACTTGTGGTCTTCTCTGCTCCGGATCCGTCTCTGTGGTGGACAATGAAGTCAATAATATCCAATTAAGGAACATTTTTGCTTTGAGCTAAAATAAGTTAATTTTGAACTATTTATTGACAGAAGTAGACAGAAATACGGACAGCCAGGTTGGGTGGAAGTTTTTTTTTTCTTTTTCTTTCAGCCATTTTGTAAAAACCAACAAATCTTTGTCTCACTTGAATGGCATGTTCTCTTGTCTTTGCCATTTTGAAGAATGGAATAACAATAAGCATGTTGGGTGATGTGTTACAAGTAGAGTGCAATAAATTATTTCCACACAGCTTTCAACAAGTGTTACATTTAGATTTCATAACAAGTGAAAGTTTTCCATAAAATATCAAAGCAGAAAATAATTCTGGATCTTTAAATTTCACGTTGTAGATGCTGACCAGCATTTTAACACTGGCTGATCCATTTCATGAGCAAACAACTACTATTCCCTTTAATTGTTTTTGGGGCTCCGGCTGCTTTTTTTTTTATTTCAAATAATATACTTTTCCAGTCTGGAGTCTTTAGACAATTCTGAACATTTGAGCACAAAGTATTCACTTTCAACTGCTTGATTAATATTTGGGTTTTATTATCTAAAGGTTCCACAAATCATGGAACAAAACGCAACAAAATTCTGAAATTGGCTTTATTTTTTTCAGAGTGAGGTACAGGGCTGTTTAACGGCTTATTTGACGNCTGTTTTAAAATAAANGAGCNTTGTTATAAATCTGCAAGTATTAGACTAAATGTACAATCTTCAAAATTTCTCAATCGTTTTTAAATAATGTAGTGAAAACACATTGTTTTGGTTTTTGAATGAGTGTATTGCAGTTCGTAAGTCAAAATACTAATGAATGAAATTAAATTTGACGTGAAAATCAAATTATGTAGCAAATCATAGACAACTTGTATATAAAAACAAAATCTACTAAGAAAGTTATTAGTTTCTTCTATAAACCAAACATTTCCTCACTCAGTTTTCTTTTCTCAATCATTTACATTTATTGTAATTTGCAACATTCTACAAATATACATATTTATTATCAGTAAGTAATGTGATACATCTGAAATAAATAATATGAGATGCATTTTCTAAAGCGTCTTTGTAGCTGCTCTGACTGACCTGCAGGTTTCTGCCGAGGAAAGCTTGCAGGAAGCCACTTTTCCCGCTGCCGCGCGCCCCCAACACGTTGCACCGGAAGACGCTTCGCTGCGTTCGCTTTGTCTGCAGATCGATGTGCTTTTTACGCGTCACTGAGGAAGAAATTGATACACAAAATAAAAACAACAAATAAATAAATATAATAATTATTCCGTTGCATATGTTTAACAACTTTTAGACACTTTTACAGAAACAAAACCATTTAGATTAAATTGATAACATCCATTGTTTTGTTAAAATCCCTGTTTACTTGTTGTTCAACTGCAGCTTACCTAAAAAAACATTTAACATTAAACACAATCTGATCCATTACCAGTAACAGCAGCAGCTTGGGAGTCCTGTTCATAGATGATGGAGTAGCCGAGGTAACCTAAATACTCCAAACTCCTCTGGACGTCCAGATATGTTGTTAACCTGCCNAGACAGAAACCAGTTTATTGTAATTTAGTGGTTTAATGTGATTTAATGGTCATCATTGACCTCAAAGACTCATAAAGTCTGAAACTAAAGACTGAAGCTACAACATGTCAGAGATCAGCAGAGCTTCGTCTCTGCGGCTGATTTGACCTGAGAAAGTTTCTAACAAGAACCAGAACCTTCAGAGACCAGATGGACGTTCTTCATTTCAAAGAACAAAAACCCTGAAAATCCTGCATGTAGAAACACACAGAGCTGCAGCAACACAAACCAGATCAGAACAGGATGATTACCTGTGAGCAGCGCGATCAGCAGCACGACCTTCATGATGAACAAGCAGCAAGTTTTGACTCCCAGCTGCTGAGGCTCTGCTGTCACCACAGCTGCTCACTACTTCACACAGGGCGTGACAAGAACTAAACCTCAGAGTGGTCTGAGGGGAAGTAGAGAGGGCTGAGGGACGGAGAGCTTCCAGGAACTGGAGACACCAAACCAGACCTGCTGCTTCCTCTCATCTTTTAATAAACAGCTAAACGACATAAACAGCTTTAATCTGTCTCAATATGTGCCTGCAGCTAATAATTCTAATATAAGCTCTAAATTATTCATGCAATATTTTCTAAGTTTAGTGGCTTCAGTTGTTCTTTTTGTTCATGAGAATCAAGCTGTTGCTGATATGTCACAATAAGTTTAGTTCCACATTTACTGAATCAACAGGATGTGCATCAATATAGCACCTTCATTTTATAAATGGTAAAAAATAACAGCTTCACTCATTGAGTCAGATTAAATTAACAGCACATCACAGCTTAGACCTACTGCTTCATGACGATGCCAGAGAGCCACCAGGTCTGGACTTTTGGACTCGGTCAGTACTCTCTGTTCTGATTCTGCATCTCAGCCTCAAACTGTGAGTTTTACATAATTTTTCTCCTCAGAAGTGAGAGCAGAAACCAGCTCTGCAGAAAACACCTGCTATGAATACAGACAGAGACCACAGAGGTCTCAGTTTCTGCTGTGGTTACAACATGACCACAGCATTATTAGACAAACCAGGCTGACAACAAGTTGGTGAAATATAAATGAATATTTAAAAATAGATTATAAGGCTCACGTTCACTTTGATAACATCTCCAGGTCTTGGCTGTCTCACCAAATTAATACATATAATCAATAAGAGTTTATATTATAAACACCGTCTATTTGCCCTAGTGTCCACTGGGGGGCGCCATTCATACAAAGTAAAAGGACCAACATACAACATCATAGCTGCCCTTGATACAATAATAAACTAATTCCTGTTGACAGGACAATCTAATCCTCATGAGTTCCTGTTAATGATCAAATCTACCTCACCGCACTAAATAAATTCACTGTATTCGTTGTTTGATCTCCATTTAATTAATTGCTTTTAATAGAGAAATGACAGACTATTTCCAAGAGTAAATGGGGAGATATACTTCCCTCAGTAGATACTGTGCAATAACAGCTCTATATGTTTTTTTACCTTTAAACTCGGCGCTATGCCTCCAAACTGTTCGCATTAAAAATAAAAAGTTGTGCCTCCCCGTCGGGGAATCGAACCCCGGTCTCCCGCGTGACAGGCGGGGATACTCACCACTATACTAACGAGGAATGCCGCAAAAACACATTGTTTCAGTACCGATTTTATGCACTCTGACGACATAGAAGATTGAAGCAATTTAGTTCCGGTCCACCGCCATTGGGCATTGCCCGCCCACAGTCAGCTGTGACCCCCCACCTCCGGTCTGGAAGCTGTTTCTCGTTTTTATCTTAAAGTGGCCAACTCTCTGTTATACCTATATCGATTTGATACAGTAGGGGCTTCCGCACTTCCAATATCTGTGCCTTCTGTCATTTTTTTCAGCAGTTAAAACTGTTTAATCCGTGGTTAACACGTCATGGACTGGTTCTCCGAGTCGCCTTTAAACGCAACATGAGCGCTAAGACGCTCGCGCTGGGTTTACACCTGTGCGACAGAAAGAGACATGCTGCTGCTGTGCTGAGCTACTCAGGTGTGTATTTTAATCATGGCAGCAAACCAGCAAAACGCTAAGAACTTTGCACAGTTTTCCCCCAAACTAACCGACTGAGTTGAGTAAAGCTGTTGGATGCAGGTAATGTTAGCTAAAAGATGACTAGCTAATACCAATACAGCATCTTAAGCAGTGACATGCGGTGAGGTTCATAGCTGGTGAGGCACCGACTTAATTATAATCGGATTTGCAAATCTAGACCCCTGCATGCTATTGTTTACTTAAGGAAATTTCGCGCATGCGTACAATGCTGGAGGGCAAAAAGACTATTCTTTAACATGTGATGCTTAGTTGCGCCGCTGCCGCAAAATAATTCCGTTATCTCAATCAAACTTAGACATGTAGATATTACTAATTTCGTGCTGTGCTTAACAGCAAAGGGAGAAACCGTTAAAGTACAACTCAAACCACGTCTTTCTCGCTCTCTGTATCAGAGCAGCTACTGTATTGCCAACTCGCTGTTACCGTCTCTTACTCTGCAGTTGTGCAGTCACACTGTCTGGGTTCATGAGCGCCCCCAGCGATGAGGCACGAGAACTGCCTGCCTCACCTCGAATCTGTTATCTGCCGTTTCTGATCGCTCCTCAGCACACGAAACACGTTACACACACACAGTTGGTGACAATAAAAACACAGTACATTAAATACATAAGCTGAATTAGGGAAATCAGTTCATACATTAAATGTTTTTAACCATTTTATTGGCGACGTACAGACAGGAGGAGCATGCTCTCATGGAATGGCAACCGGTGCAGCGAGTGAGAGGTTGCGCAATCCCAGGTGAGGCTCTGCTCACTGCTGCCTCACCGGCTTCGCTTCCAACCATTTGAGTGGGAAAATGCGAAAATTCAGCGATTTTGAAGAAAAAAATAATCAGATTTGGTTAAATTAAATGAAAAATAGGTACTTTATAGTACAAACCACAGGGTGAAAATATCTTTATAAATGATTTTATTATTATATATTATTTTTCCATGATTCCTCCCCTGACCGCACATCACTGATCTTAAGCTTGTTAACAAGTAGCCTGTAGACTACTGATGTTGTTGTCTATGTTCAAAAGTAGGTAGTGCCTTTACATTCACTTAAGTAACTTCTTTGGAAAAGGGTACTTATAAGAGTAGTTTTACTGCACTGTACCTTTTTCTTTTACTTTGAGTAATATTATTATTGCTACGTAGATTCATCCCCCCTCAGCCCCTCCAAAAAAGTAAAAATAAACCGATGCCCTCGTCTGGAGCCGGGGCTGACTAAGTTGTTTGCAATGTTTTTTAATATTATCCAACACGCTAACACAGAGGTTCACTACTAAATCGTTAGTGCACACAAAATGCGAAAACAATATTGAAAGTGTTTTAAACGGCATTGGTTTTACTTTTAGGTCCGACTGTTTCTCATCTAAAACAAAGCTTTTTTTGCTCATCGTGACGTATTAAAATATGCAAAAATTATTTGATTATTTCTATAGTAAATAATTTTTCCCCTAAAACAAAGTGTAGTCACAAAAACCTGTTTCCTAGCTAACCAAGCGGCGCGGAGAAGAAATGTAACTGCGTCACTCAGTTAGCGATGTTTTAAGGGCTGAAAAAACACCGTGAAACTACACAGCCACTTAAAAGAACAAGGTTTAATTGATGCGATTAAACCTAAAACAAGAAAAATATAAAGTAAGCTTACTTTCTCAATATGAACGCCAACATTTTTCCAAACCCTTCTTTAACATGGCCGCTCCAATCTCCTGAAGATGGCGGCGGTCCGCACCGGGGATTGAAAACTAATTTTCAGATATTTAAAACCCGCTTCAATTTGTTGTTATTCTGGGTGACTATTTCCATCTGATGACCAGAGATGGCGTTGAAACCGGTTCTTCAGACTGAAACAAATTCAAAATGTTCAGGACGTTGACAAAAAATTCCAGGACATTGCTTTTTGTACGCCACAAAATGAAAAAAATAAAATAAAATAAAAAAATGAAAACGGTTAATTACTCAACTAAAACAACTTCTTGGTATTAAACTAATAACAAACTACCATTTAAGTTATTAAATGCAGTCACAATGATACACATTCTCTAAATTAAATTTATCAACGTACACTGCACTATAGTTATATAATAAAATTGAAAAAACAATGAGAGTTTTGTCATATTAAAAAAGTACTTTTTATATGATCAACCTAATAGAAGCAGCTCAGATGTTTAAGATGTTTAAAAAGCTTACTGTTTAAAAAATGTCTCCTGGACATAAATTATTGGGCATTTTAATATTATGAGTCCATGCAGGCCTCATAGGAGGAATTCCCGGTTCACTTCGCATACTGCTAAGCCTGGCAGGGGACAATATTTACAGGTTGTCTGGTGTTTTTTCTTCCCCATTTCTTAAAATTCTTAGCTCTGGGGATTTTTAAGGATCCAATTTTACTACAGTTTATAAGTCTATCCAAGTGTGATTTTGTGATGGATCGATAAGGAGCTAGCAGTAATTAGCATTAGCTAAATGATCAAATTAATATTCAGTGACACAGTAAGATAAGTCAGAATTTCTTTGATATTTAACAGCTACTGTTGTACCTGAAATACAAATCTTACTGCAAATTTAGTTTTACTGAATTCTACATATCTTAGGTGTTAATAAATAAATAATAAATAAATAAATTATACTGGAACAGCTTAAATAGTTAAGCTATGCTACTAGCTGTGCTTCACACAGGAAGGCTTGGCAGCAGCTAAACCTCACAGAGGAAAGAGAGCCGAGGGACGGAGATAGGAGCTTCTTGGACCTGAAGAAACCAAACGAGACCTGATGCTCCCTCACAACTTTTAATAAACATCCAGAACAGAAACAGCTTTTTCTCAAACAAATGTCATTTTTCAGTACCATGAGGAAATTAAAACAGAATAATTGTGTTTTATTTAAACATCTTGTCTCAAAATACCAACAATTTTTAACAAGTTAGCAATTTGTAGCTTAGCTTGTAGTAACATGCCATCATAAACGAAGACNTAACATTAAACACAATCTGATCCATTACCAGTAACAGCAGCAGCTTGGGAGTCCTGTTCATAGATGATGGAGTAGCCGAGGTAACCTAAATACTCCAAACTCCTCTGGACGTCCAGATATGTTGTTAACCTGCCAGCAACAACAAGGAGGAATCAGGACTTGGATGCTCTGAAACTCTGGTGTCTGACCTTGTGTTGAAGGTATTTGGGTTAATCAAAATTGGTGGGATAGAGGCGCCTGAATGCATGTATTAATAGAAAGCCACTCACGTCCACTGGGAGAGGTATCCCTGGTATGTGATCCATCCCTTATAGTTGGTGCACACCGTGTTGTTGACATCTGGACCCCAGGGCATGTAGGGAAACACACTGAACAGGTCCTTCACTTCCTCTGGGGAAAGCGCACAGTCTCTGTCCTGCAATAAAACAAACAGGTAAAACTTTTGGCTTTGGCAGAAAACTGCTGCATTAAAATTAGGAGAGTATTTTGAACTAAACAGGCACAAACTAGCTAAAATGCTCTGTTGTGCATGACCACTCACTTTGTCGTGTTTGTCAAAGACGCTCTCCAGAAAGAGGTAAGCGTTGTGGTTTAGCTCAGTGGTGCAGCCTGGAGGGACTTTTATCCTGAAATAGAGGAGCAAACATTAGTTCAGCAGCTGACCTGACGAGTTTCCAACAGCAGCGTCTAAAGTTTAGACTCTAAACGGAGACGGACTCTGGGTCAGTTTGGGTTACATAAGGCAACAACAGCAACCACACAGGACCATATGGCTGCTGGCAGGTTTTCATGGCCATGAGGTAATAAAACATTTCAAGAGTCAGACTGAATCATTGAGGTGTTTTTTTTTTTTACTGCACTCTTAAATACAGAGAAGTGAAATAGTGTTTTCAGTAAGACTCCTCTATCTGGATGTTTTATAATTTCTAGTGTTAAACAGAACTGTGTCTTCAGTAAATGCTTACAGAGGGAACAGATATTCCGACTTGAGCTCCAGGCTGTCGTTGTATCCGAACCTCCTCAGCACCGTCCACACGGTTTCGTGTAGACCTTGCAGGATGGACAGAGTGTGCAGGAAGAGGAAGCCTGCAACGACCAGCCAATGAGAGGATGGGATCCGGGATCCGGTCAAAACCTGACAGAGAGGTAAAGGAAACAAAAGAGACACAAGTCTGACCTCTGAGGGTGAGTCCGTCATATCTCAATCCGTTGTTCAAGTCCCTCATCACCGTGTCCTTCACATCTTCTAAGACTTGAGGTGCCAGAGGCGTATTGAAACAGATTATCTGTAAACAGAAGCAACAACACATTGAGATATTTTCCCCAGATTTGTTCTTACTTAAATATACCTCTTTAAATAAGGTTATATTAATTTCTGTAGCAACAGATCTGACAATCAAATGCATAATTAAAGAATTACATGGAAGAGGTTGAGTTCGTCGTCGTTCAGGACCCCATCGTTGTTCAGGTCGGAGATCTTAAATATCCGAGCTAAAGCCTTAATGCAGGAAGGTTTCAGCTGCAACACACAGGAGGGATCGAAATTTATGAGGGTTAAAATCTGTTGAAGGCGACATCAGAGAGGAAAAGTACTCTTTAGTTCTCTCTCCTCATTTTTATATGCAGGATTGAGCTTGACTCTATTAAAAATAAATCAGAATAATCTAAAACTGGCATCAGCTGGTCAGACCTTCAGCATCAAAATCCTAGAAGCAGCATTTCAAAAATAAACTCGATGATACGATGACTTCCTAATCCCTAGATGATTCAAAATGTGTTCTGCTTCTAACAAACCTCACCTTCTTCTCCTCTGGGCAGAAGAGGAGGAAAGCTTTCTCTCCCATCGGGTGGACAGCAGCCTTCTGGGCGCAGGAGAAAACCTCAGAGATGTTCTCCAGGTTCTTGGCAGAACACTGTGGGGAAAAAAAAGTTAAAAGAAGATCAAAAAAATATCCTGAAATGTCAAACTAGAAATCTGCACAGAAAAAAGGCTTAGTAGAGATTCAATGATGGAGACAAATACATATGCAAAATACTAATGTATTATTCTCATAAGGATACATTTCCTCATACGTATTTACTTACTCTGCACACAAAGGGACTTCTTTCTCCAAAGTCAATACCTCCTGTTGACTTTAGAGTTGGTTTTATTATAGCAACACAAATCTCTTTCAAATTTAGGTTTTCACCTTTTGTTTGCAGTTTTTAACATCTAGCAATGTTTACAACTAAAGCTGTTTTTGCGAATCTTCACGAAATTGTAGCAAACGGAACCTCATCTTTTTTTGGGGGGGGGGAGGGGGAGGATTTTAATTAATTGTTAAAATCAAACAAAGGTTTTAACCAGCTACATTTTCAAAAATCTCATATTATTTCCACAGGTGAAAGTGTTTGATGCTGGACGAGTCAGAGACGAGTCAGAGACATGGGGAGTTTTCTGTGATGATCACACGCTGCCCCAGAGCAGCCCCATGATATCTGTGGAAACAATATGAGATTTTTGTGTAAATACTGTAAACTTTTACTCAGAGTTATCAAACCACCAGCATCTCATGCCTCCATCCTCTGCTAATAAGTCGGACAAACCGAACCAGATCTCCATGTTGCGTATCGTAACCCCTGTCTTCTCTGAGGCCGCAGTAAAACACTGCTTCACGCTATTTAGTGCGGCAGGTGTGAGCCTAGATCTGTGCCAACAGTGCATGTGCCGACTTTCACGTCCTCCTTGCTGAGCTCCTCTAATCTTGTAACTGATCTGTCTGAAGAGGGAAAAACTGCGCTGGAACATGTGGCATGGGAGAAATCTGAATAAAAGCAGCAGTGCAGACAGATCCCAGCCAAGCCTCTAACTCAGCCACGTCAGGGCGTCTGAGTGAGGGACTCGGTAACATAAACTCATTAATGACTCGGCCAGAATGTAAACGGCGTCGGGGTCTGATCTCTGTTCACCGTTTCATAGGTTCATCTCTCTACTGTAATTAAGCCTGATCCTGTAGACTACTTACATTATATTCATCATCTTGTGTGAAGAATAAGAGGCTGAATCAGTTTTTTTTTTTTTTTTTTTACCTCTATACAGATCTTAATGTCCTGGTACCGATTCATGATGGGCCGGATGGTCTCCATGCTGCTGTGCTCCACCAGGTCCAACTTGTTCCCCACGAGAATCAGTGGTACCCTGAAATACAGAGATATTGATACAGAAATAATGAAGCTGATCAACATAAAACCAATCAGCATCACCAACAATTTTTCTCATTTATTAAACTGTGTCTATAAAGATAAAAGTCTTTGCTGGTATCACTTCAATAAAGAGTTTCTTTTTTTTTTTAAATCATGATATATCTAATAAATCACACAAATTAAACATTTTAAAAATGCTTTCTGTAATTAAATGAGCTGAAAAAGTATGTGAAGGATTAACTATGAAAGAATGATTGTTACTGCAGCGTTTATTCACCTGCTCTCTTTATCTGTGTGGTTGTTTATAAGAGGAATCCAGTGGCTTGTCACCTGCAGGAGGAAAACACTGAATTAGATTCTGCTAATGATCTGAACCAGATTTGATCAAGAAAACTTATTTTTTATTACATTTCCAGAGTCAAATTACCAAAGTTTTTAAAGCTTTTCAGCTAATATTGAGATCTCAGTACAAAACCTGACTCTTAATTTAAAAAATATATATATTTCTACATTCATCAGGGTTCAAGTGTAGAAGCTGCAAACTGGGAATGTAAATAACACAGAAAAATCTTTTTTTCTTTTTTTTTTTTTTAAATATCCAGATCTGTAAAGTATTAAAATCAGAATCAAAATTCGTTTTTGCAGACGGAGCAGGAAGTATGCCTTGTTCAGGTCTGATATTTAGGGCATTAAATTCAGTTTCTAAACACACTGTAGTTTAACTGTGCTTAATGTGGAGGGAAATTATTTCACCTTTTCAATGGACTTCTTGTTGTTAACAGAATAAACTATGCAGATCACGTTGGCCTGCAAAGAGAAACAGAAACATCAGCCTGAGACGCCTGAGATAAACTAAGAACAACCGTGAGAATGAAATCAGACGTACCTTGGAGATTTCTTGATAGAGCTGCTCTTTAGTCTGCTCTGCTTCTAATATCATTTTAAAAACACATTAATCAGTGACATTGTTTTCTCTACCTCCTGAATTTTAATGTTTTTCTGTCTGATGCTTTATTTGGAGAAGCTCTTGGATTATCAAGAATCTAAATAACGTTGACACATAAATAGGTAATTTAGTGATTAAAACTTGAGCCTTTATTATAAGTAACAAATTCTGGCCTGGTAGACTTGTATTAGAATAAATTTAAAGTATGAACAAGCGCAGGAAGGCTAGAGGGGTTTAATACGGACAGATTTGTTAATTATGTCGATTCTACTGTTTTTCTGAGAGAACGTGTGTGTGTGTGTGTGTGTGTGTGTGTAGAGTTACCAGAGTAGTCCACGATGTGTGTGCGTACCCTCTCTGGGGTCATGTCAGCTGGGATGGTGATCTCTTTAACTCTGAGAGGAACCTGACAGACAGATCACCGTTATAATCCAGGCTGGCATAATTTTTACACACATATTTGTGTATAAAACACAAATATGTGTGTAATAAACAGCCTTCTAGGTTAAAATCTGACATATTACACACCATCAGAGTTTATGTTGATTCGTACCTTATTAGGAAACTCCTCACGAACCAGAGACATGACCAGTGACGTCTTCCCCACCTTGGCTGCAGGACAAAAGCAAAACAATGAAGCTATTAAGAGCACTCTGACATTTATTCTAGCATGATGGGTACAGCAATAGGAAACGGAGTTTTACTACATTAAGAGAAATATTGTCTGCATCATTAAGTATCGAAAAGAGTTGCACATCTTCTCAAAAGATTGCTATAAAAAGCTTCATAACTCTGCACTCAGCAAATGTCCCAAAACATTACCGTCTGACATGTAAATCTCTGGAGGAACATCAAAGTTAAAAAGACCATCGAGATCCCAAGCATTCAGGCTCTTTGTGACAATAAAATATTTAGTGACATTTGTTGTTTTTTGAAACATAAAATAAATCTTTAGGAAGCTTTTTGGATGCTCTTTTTTCTTTGACAAAGCAACATTTTCAATAGAATGATATTGAGAAGAACGCAATTAATTTTTATATTTTTCCATAAACAGAAATTACTCATCATCCCGGCTCTTCCTATGGAAGAGGTCCAGAAACATTTAACTCTGTTCAGGTAAGAATTTGGTTATTTATCACAGTCATGTCAACATTGCAACATTTGCAAAACATATTGATTGTCTCCCAAATATTGTGCAGCCCTGAATTGAGTTATAATTATAACACATGGATAACATACATACACACACACAGTGTGCACGCAAATAAATACATAAATTAAAATATTAAAAAAATATTTCCCACTGACCAAATTTTTTTCTAATCTATGGTTTGTTGTCACTTTTGAAGAAAATGGTTTTTTTTTAAAATCTCCTCCAGTTTTAACAATTACCAATGCTAAAACTGAGAAAATATACAAAACCACATTCATCTACAAGAGTATGTTTGTAATCCAGTAAAATCAACAAAGTGAAAAGTTGCAAAAAGCTTAAGCTTTATGTTTTCGCATCCACCTGAATAAATATGTAGTTGCGACCCTGTGTGAGCTAAAGCTGACGGATCACCCATCCATCGAAAAAAATATACAGATCGGAGAGAAGCACAAAACTATCACTGCACCTGCAAGAGCACAACCAGCTCCCCAACGCAAAACCAGCACAAACCTAAACCACAAAAGCAGCGGACTTTATTTTTTTTTATTTATTTTTTACAAACGATGCTAAATAATAAAGACATGAAAGCAAAGCGTGTGATCCACGGAAAGAGGAGAATGTTGATTCCCAGGTTCAGGTGGTGTCAAGACGTCCAAAGGAGAACGTGATGCAACATTGTCTGCTCTTTTGGGGAACGTTTTGACTAGATTAAACCCGCAGTCTGAGAGGCTTAGTAGGCAGATGTCAGCCATCCGGTGACCCACCAGAACCGCGCACACGGTAAAAAGCTCAGCGGGATCCAAAGGACCGCTGTTGGAACTACGAGTGAGATCAAACTCCGCTCATTCAGTTTTAGCTTGCAGAAAAAGCGCCAAGACGCCAAATAAACAAAAGTAAACTGACCAGTAACATTTAGGCTTTGACGTGCAGTGGGTCCAGCCGTACAGCTGCAGGCGCTGCCGCCCTCTGATAACATCCTACAGGCGTCTGCGCATAATTCTGAACTCTAACCCCAGAAAAGAGTTACAGCAAATTATTTTAAACGTTTTTATAATTCGCTTAAAAAAGCAATTCTAAAAATAAACAAATATTCTTTCAAGGTAAAAACATTTAATTTTTTTTGTTAGTGCTCCCTGATGACAATGGCTCTTTTTAGAACTTGCTCCGCGGGCGACTCACAAGGTCCCCTCGGGCGACCGGTGGCCCACGGGCACCGTGTTGGTGACCCCTGCTCTAGCTCATTTTATCAGTCTGCCATATTTACCGACTATATCCCTCTACTTACGTTCTCCAACCAGGAGTATCCTCACGTCCTTCATCATGAATCAACTGGCTTCCCTCGGCAGAAATGACTCCTTAATGTTTCATTAACTCTCCAGAGAGCCTTCCGCCTCCCTCCTTCTGCGGCTGGAGCGGTTACAGCGGTTTCCTAACCGCTCCACCGGTTGGAGCGGTTTCCTAACGTCGGGTCCTCCGATTTTACTACAGTTTGAGCTGTGTGAAGCTGACACCCCACCCACGTCAGAAAATCCAGCAAATAGTCTGAGTGGTTAGTGCTCCGTTTGTGCCGTTAAAATTTTTGTTTGTGCAGTTTTGGTTTCTGAGATATTAAGTTATAATTTTGGCCGATGATGTCATCTCCCCCACCTCCCTTCTTGCTCCAAAACAAACCAACCACACTACATTCCAGTTGGTAGCGGCGACTTAGCGGTAAAACAAAACTTTTTGTTTGGAGCAAGATGGGGGCGGCTGGTGACGTCATGACTTTTGTTTAAGGATTCAATTTTACTACAGTTTATAAGTCTATCCAAGTGTGATTTTGTGATGGCTTGATATGGAGCTAGCAGTAATTAGCATTAGCTAAGCGATCACATTAATATTCAATGACAGCAAGATAAGTCAGAATTTTTTTTTTTTTTGATATTTAACAGCTACTGTTGTACCTGAAATACAAATCTTACTGTAACAGCTTAAATAGTGAAGCTATGCTACTAGCTTTGCTTCACAGGAAGGCGTGACAGCAGCTAAACCTCACAGAGGAAAGAGAGCCGAGATAGGAGCTTCTTGGACCTGAAGAAACCAAACGAGACCTGATGCTTCCTCACAACTTTTAATAAAACATCCAGAACAGAAACAGCTTTTTCCTCAAACAAATATCATTTTTCAGTACCATGAGGAAATTAAAACAGAATAATTGTGTTTTATTTAAACATCTTGTCTCAAAATACCAACAATTTTTAACAAGTTAGCAATTTGTAGCTTAGCTTGTAGTAACATGCCATCATAAACGAAGACGTTAAATATCTTTTAAAATTATTGAGCCATACATAAAGAAAAGTCTGTATTACTATTAGTTTTGTTAAAATAATAATAAAGAAGCTTATTAATTTATAAGGTTTGCTATAAAAAGTACTTCTAAAATGAATAGAATCTGTTTAGTGAGGGTCACAATATCCCTACCAAGTGTTTGTTTTATAATTCTATGACAATTTATTGGTACAATCTTTGTAAATGTAAAGTTAGATTAAGACTTTTAGAAGAATTGTATTATTAAATTATTTACATGATGTGGTGGATCAATAGTTTTTTTTGTTACATCTCTCAGGATGAAGAGAAAACTGATATTTCCTGGAAAAGTAGAAGTGAACTTCTGAAGAGGGCCTAATGGATATCTGAGGCAAGATCACTCAGATGAAGCAAAAACCATGAAGAACAACCCAGATCTCCAGGATAGGTCACCTGCTCTCAGCGGAGATAGGGTTAAAGAGAGCGCTCACTCTGTTGTTTTCTGGAGATGTGGTGATGTCTCTGACAGACAAGAACTGCTGGTGAGGCTTTGCCTCAGTTTGGAAAGTACAAGGGCAAAACTTTCCACAGGATCCTTGAAAACCACGAGGGAAATGTTTTATATGTAACCTGCAAAGATGAAAAAGAGGAGAGAGCTGGGCAGATTAATCCAGATGGTCCCAAAAACGAAAACAGAGGCTTTTTGAAAATTGCTGACCTCCTTGACTATTCCTCCAAAAGACCTGCTGAACCTCAACCTGCTGTGGAGATTATAACGACCTGGATGTCTTCATGGCTCAGCACGACCTCTACCTCCATCTTCTTATTATCCTTCAGCGAAGGTCATTAGGAATGTCTCCAAAATAAACGTCCAGTCAGCTGAATGATGCATTTCACTTTAAGTATGAGCACCGTCGCTTGTCTCATGTCAAAAATACGCTGGATGGAGAGACCGGACTCTGTGATCAAGGGTCTTAAAATCCAGACCTCCAAGGTTGTGTTCCTACAGCTTTTAGATGCGTCCAAAAAATCAGGTTATTAGGCAGGACTCTGGAGACTGGCTGAACACCGAGGAGGCGATTTATTCATTTGGCCATCACTGTGTCACTGAGAACAACCACTCCTGCTCGTTTTGGTGGACATGCTGATGGCTGGTTTGGTGTAACAGCTGAAGCTCATTACCTGGTTGACTGCGTCATCCAGGAGTAGCGTACCCTCAGTCTGCTCCTTCAGGGCATTTTTAACTAGCTTGGAGAGCAGACCACACCCAGAAAGATGTGCTGACATTCACAAAAATACCTTCTGTCTCCTGTCCTGAGTGATGCTGCAATCAGAAACTGGCCAGATCCTGGAGTCCATGTATGCAGGGTTGATACATTTCTGCAGGACAACCAAAAGCCACACATCAGTAGGTCCACAGATGAGAGCAGACAATGTTTTGATTGTTGCTCTGCATTCATGAGCCCTAATCCTGGACCTCAGGGAAACCTGCTGTGGGATTCTTGGAAAGTTGAAGCAACTTCTGGAAACTTCACCTGCACTTGAGTTTCTAGGAAGAAGTACAACAGTGAAATGAGCATCAAGCTAGAACCGTTTCAGAGCATCATCCACTGCACAGCATCTTCTGCACATTTCTGTCAGAGGCATTCTGAGTTGTTGACCAGTCAGACCTGCAGACGGTGCAGCAGGCCTACGTCTTCTGTGGGATCGAGCCACCGAACCCGACGAAGCAGCACATCAGAGAGCATTGCCACAAGAAGGTCCTGAATCCTGGAGAGTTGGCGGAGAGCGCTCTGCAGAGGTTTTTCTCAGAATGTGATCCTGATGGCGTGTCGCTCTTCAAACACTCCATGCTCAAAGTGTGGAGAATCCAATGGGTTCACATCCTCCATGGCTGCTTGAGTGACCCAGAGGTTGGAAGGGGCATCCTCTAAAGACATGGTGTAACAATCCAACTGAACCACGTCAAGGCTGAGGAGGCAGCTGTACCTCCATGGATCAATCTGCAGGGAACTTCTCAGCAGGAGGGGTTTCACCTCCACCAGTCCAGGTGAGTCACTGGGACTCAGGTATCCACTGAGCTCTTCCAGGCACCGGGGATGATGGGAATCGCTTGTTTAGAGTTACAGCGTCTTGTGGATCTGAAACTACCAGATGTGAAGCTCCCTGCTGTTTTTGATCCTGATTTGGTCTCAGACCTGAACAGACTCTCCCAGGAAGTTACAGGCCAGACCCATTTAGATTAGATTTAGATTTTTCTGAATCTAAACTTTAATTTCTGTCTCTCCATCACGTGCCAGTGACACCGCTGCTGTCTGCCGCCTCTCCTTGAGCCGCTCGCACAGGTCCCATCAAGGCAGGCGGTCTGATCTTTGTCCTGGATCATTCCAAGAAGACACAGTCCATGACGGATGCCATCGACCAGCTTCTGGAAAAGCACCTGGGCAGAAAGACTGCCTCACTAAGGTGGATGCTGAATATGCTGCTTGAGTTCAAGCTTCCCTGAAAGATCCTAACAGCCTTCTACACCCAACAACCAAACGGCACATCTTGTGTTATGTGAAGCATCTGGCCAAGAATAAAAACACCAAATCATCCTGGAGACTGTAGTACTCCAGTAGTTACCATGTGATCCTCCCAGAATTAAACCCCAGGATGCTCCCTGAACAAAAACACCACCTGACCAAATGTTTAAGGAGATTGTGCAGCAGCAGAAAGATCAGCAGCTGGTGAAAAAGAGAACGAGGAACTGACCATCATCCAAAGTCTTGTTTTCAGGGTGATGGATCCTCTGTTCACTGATCAGTCTGGGGAGGTAAAGTATTTTTATTAGTCGTAAAAAGGTTTACCAGACAGAAGTAGCAGAGGGTCTGACTGACCCTAGAATGGCGTTTGCCAACTTCTACAACTCAAGAGCTGGAGGCTGCAAAGCTACGCTCAGCCGAAGCCAGACGGTGACGGAGGAAAGGCCAAGGAGGAGCATCCTGCTGGGCGTTTGTGCAGGTTCTGCCACAGGCCTCTGAAACGAGGCCCAAACAATCTCCATGTCCACTGGGTTCTCTGGTGTGACAGGGAAATACATTTACTGTCCTGCCAAATGACTACGGAAAACTTCCATAACAAATTAGAAACGGAAACATCCTTTACTCATCAACAATGCGTCATTTTCTCCGTATCTTTATTAATAAACTGATCCGTGTTTCAATGGAAAGATGAAACAATTAATCTTTCAGGATTTTTTAAGTCAGCTGCTATTTGCCGCTCAGTCGGCCATAGTAGGTGGCACCTGTTCCAGACCCACCGGGTCAAAAACATGGAAGCAGACCCTGAAAGAGCTGAGACTCTCTTATAAGTTCCTCCACAGCAGGTTCATGGGGCGACACAGAGCGAGTAATCCTAAATTTCTATTGCCCTGCGTTTTCTAGTCGCTTTCAGGTGGAGCTGACCTCACCTGGGGATGACAAAGAGGGCCTGGTTCCCAGTTAAAGTGTGTCAAGATTGGATAAAGCATGTGTGGAGTGGCAGTGAGGAGATTCAAATTTAAAATAATTAAAAAAAAATTCAATTGAAATAATTATAATCTCATGGATTATAATCCGTGCTCCCCTGCATAATTTAAAGGATCAGACATGGTGAGAGATTAACGCCGGCATGGCTGCCTCTACCTAGAGAAAACCTGAGGTGGCTCTTCATCAGATTAAGGTGAAGTCGGCCAAGGAGCTGTGCGCCGTATCACCAGTGGTCCTGGACCAGCTGCAGGCAGCTGGTCATGGTGAAGATCCCTGAACTGCTAGGTAAGATGTTGCCATCCTTCTCCAAAGGTTGAATGTGTACAGAAGAGATGCAACATCCAACATTTTTTCTCTTTACCGCCTCATCTGAAATGGAGGAGGAAGAGCGCGACCAGTTGAGGAGTTGTTTTTACGGCTACCTCAGTGCATTTGTCGCCTCCATTTACAGAGATAGAACGTGGGTCTTCGTGAACATGACGGTGGTCGAGGTGAGGAAGAACACAGGGGAGGATGCCCGGGGCTTTGTGATCAACATGAGTGGAAAGAAGAACTGGTGGGCTTGTTTTTCTCTCAGTCAATGATGTCCCTCGCAGACCTCCCTCGCTAAGAGCGCCGTCCAGCCAAAGAACAGGCCCGCATCCTGTTCTCCCTCCCTCCAGCTTCAAGAAGTAGGATGAGAACGCATTCTCTCTTCAAGAGACGGGGTTCTCGGAGCTGGAGGAGAAGATGCAAGACATTGAGGAGAAAAAGAAGAGGGCCAAGAAGGAGAACAGGGGAGTCCTCTGATGAGGAGGATGAGGTGAGGGTCTTTCTTATTGTCCTCTTTCCTTCATACAGTGTGCAGCTTTAAGGGGCAGTACTCATCTTGGATTTAATTTCTTTCCATGTGTTTTTTTTCCTGCAGAGTCCCTCCTTAACTCCTTCTGAAAAAGGACAAGAAACAATAATTTTCTTTTTTTTTTTTGTAATTATATTTAGTGAGTCATTATCACAACATGAAAACCTGATTTGATTTTCTCCTCTTTCAACAGACACTAAAAAAGGCCCTCAGCCTGCTGGGTAAAGTCTGCTGTAAAGGTCAGCTCCAGGGCCAGGAGGGCGCTGGGCCGAGACAACAAAAAGAAGGTCCAGCAGCAGGAGAAGCAGCTTCTCAATCTTTTGCTGAAAAGCTGCTCAGGAAGAGACTGATAACATTTGTAAGTAGTTTCTGCTGTTGCTGTATTGTTTTTGTAATTTTGTTGCCTATTTCAGTTTTTTGTACTAATTATTAATTAATGGTATTAATTTCTTGGACAAGAACTGAATTGTTCTGAGCTTCTTTTTGGGAAGTTTACAAATTAGGTATGGGGATAAAATGTGGTTGAATGGCTTTTTTATGGAACAACAAAAAGCAAAGATGGGAAACTCAGGAGCAGTTCAGGTAGAGCTGAACAGCAGCCATCAGAACCAGAACCAGGGTCAGCCTGCTGCCCTCCTGCTGATCCTACAAACACGAATCATTATTATCATCACTGAAGCCAGAACTGAACTCATGGATGTAACAATATGGGAATACATGGATCCACTCAGATCAGTGAGTCTGTGGTTTAAACCGAGGAAACCGTTTTAAACTGAAACATCCTGACTGCTGCTCTGATGACTGGAGTTACACAACGTGGTTTAAATAGGAAACTTAATGAACCATCGACCATTAAATAAGTCTGACTGGTTGCTGTCTCTCAGGACAGCCTCATGGTGCTCACCTCCTCTGTGGAGCTGCTGCTGTTAGAACAGGAAGTCAGGAGGTTCGGTGTGGTCAGCTGATCAGCTGGATCAGGAAGTGAAAGAGGATGATTTCAGAATAGCTTGTTGGGCGATGAATAGGAGGGTGTGAATGCTACTTGGATGGCCAGAAACAGCAGGCTGCTGGATTGTGTGAGAGAGATGATCATGTGACAGAACAGCAGGATGAAGGTCGTTAGACCAGCTGAGTTTCTACCCGCAGTCTGAGCAGCAGCGGATCTCTGAGGACGTCTGAGGTTCTGATGGGGCCCAGGTGGTCGGAGCTGGACACAAACACAGCATCATCACCGTGAACATTAGGGATCAGGTTCAATCCTAACATTTCAGAAAAATCTGAAAGATAGAAAGGAAAGAATTAAACATTAGTGATTTAGCAGTTGGCTGAAAAGGAGATATTTTCTGCCTCAATGAATTAAGATACTTTACCTCAGGTAACAGACTAAACTCACCTACAGGACCTACTGTTCTGTAGGTGAGTTTGTTGTAAATGATTATTTTAGAATTGAATATTCTGACAATCAACTTCTGAAGCTTTCAAGGAGGATCAGATGTAATTTCTGCAGAAAAGCCCAGCTGGATGGACTTGTGTAAAGACAAGCAGAGATTATATCTGTCTCAGTTTCTGTTGTGGCTAACACACGATGAGAATTAAACAAGTTGGTGTATAATCTGAATATAAAACAAGATTATGAAGGTAAGTTCACATTGTGTATCCAACTCCAACTGAATCAACATGAATAAACATCATCAAGGACAGTATGAACCCAAAACACTAGCTATTGGTGTTTAGCTAGTGTTAAGTGTATGTGGGGCGCCACATACACTTAAAATAAAAGGACCAACATAAAAAGACCAGAATTATTCATACAGTCAGTTGTCCATAGTGCAAACATAAAATATGTCCTATTGACAGGGCAATCTTATCCTCAGTTCTTATTTATGATCAAATCTACCTCAATGAAATGGAAAAATAGTGAAAACCCACTAGCAAATATTCTACATGTTAAAGAATATAAAACAATAGAGCAAAATGGAACTTAAACTACAAACTCTGACCTGGAACTCAGGTACATAACTATCTAGTTATTAATAGAGAACTGACAGACTAATTTCAAGAGTAAATGGGGATATATATATATAGTAATTACCGTGTAATAACTACTCTGTTACTAGATCTGGCGACATGGCGTCTCAGATCAGATTAATCTAAAATATTAATTTGAAATATGAAAAAGTTGTGCCTCCCCGTCGGGGAATCGAACCCCGGTCTCCCGCGTGACAGGCGGGGATACTCACCACTATACTAACGAGGAAAACCGCGAAAACAGCCCGCTGCAGTACCGATTTTATCCATTGCAATGATATACCCGGTAACTAACATTGCTCAATATCATTTGGACGTTTACATCGGTTTACTTTAATAACCTATAAGCCAGCACGGAGGCACACTACTAAATGGTACTGCGCGCAAAATACACGTGTTTCAAACAGCCGTGGCTCTACTTTTTACTGTTATGTAAAACAAAGTTGTTTTTTCCTCATTGCGTCGTCTTAACATGTATAAAACTTAGTCTGCTGAAGTCAAATACAATTAAATCAGTCAGATGACAGAAATGGGCCAATTTAAATAACCAGACGCAGTTCCCTTTTCCCATTAAATGTTATTTCTCTATTAAAATATGCTGTAAGGTACTAAGATACCATATTGTGTGAAGGAAAATAAAACTAACACTGTTTTGTATAGAAGCAGAAAACTGCAATACACCTTACATAACCGAAAACGGTCTGAAATTGGTCGTTTTTGTAGTTACCCCCAGTTTAGTTTAAAACAAATTAGTGAAGAATAAATCTGATTTATGCTAATGGAAAGGCTCCAACAGCGTTACAGCAGTTAGCTCGGTTTCGGCTAGCAGCTGAAAACACCGAAAAATTACGAAGTTACCAAACACAATAGGATTAAATTGATGCCATTAAACCCCAAAGGAGGAAAATATATGTTAAACTTACTTTCTCCACATGAACGACAACATTTTTCCAACCAAAAAACCCCTCAGTACATCTCCAGCATGTGCTACAGTCTCTTAAATATGGCGACGGCCCACCTGTGACTGATTAGATCACGTGATCAGCTGTTAGCTTACTACTATTCGTTTTAGCTAATAACATTGTTTTTAGTTTTCTGATAATAGAAACAAAGAAATATATTTCTCAGATATTTCAATCCTGTTCCAATTTGTTTTTGTTCCTGAGTGACTATTTAGACCTCATGGTCCAAACTATCTCAACTAAGGACTCTTGGCTAAAGGGTTATTTTTCTGTATGTAACCACTTCAGGGTTAGCCTTGAAACCTGCTAACCGGCTCACCTCCACATCCAAATCACTTAGAATGGCTAAACTTCAATTACGATATTAACTTTGGATGATAGAAAATACAGTTCATGATTTGCCACATTTATTTATACTCAGAACAACTTTACTGGCCAAGATTGAGTGCGAAAATGAGGAAACCGATTTAGGTCTCAAACACTCAGTATGCAGACAAAGTATTTAAATGTATAGTCTTTAGAGGAAATAAAATAAGGACAGAAGAATAATATGTACATATTTGCCATCATTTTTTAAGCAAAAAAGAAAAAAGGTTTGATGTTACAGGACTTAACTTTTGTTTCCTAGCAGAACAATTGAGTACTGGGGGAAGAAAATGGCCTTGACCTCTGTCCTAGCCAAGCCACACAGTGATTGATGACTACATGACAGACTGAATAATAGAGATGGAAAACATGATTAGCAGCTTCTGTAGAAGGCTGAACTTCTTGAGTTGCTGTAAGAATTTAGAATGAAGATAGAAATACATCAGCAGAAGAAAACTGATCTAAAGAACAGCTGATCAAACCCAAAATCTAATTTGTATGTATAAAATAAACACAATGAGGGTAAGAAAATAGGCAATCTTCAACATCTTTCTGTTGTTAAGATGAACATTTCATGCTTCAGTTCTGACAGAGAAAACAATAGATGAAGACTTTTCGGTTTTATGCCACTTTGATGTTTTAAGTCCCAAAAGAGGAACATTGGAGAAGGTCGGGGATCACAGTAATCTGCTGATTGTTCTTCATCTTCACACAGAGCTGGTCTCCTCCTCCTCTGATTGGTCCAACCTTCCTTCAGTCTCTACTTCCTGGTTAGATCTCCAAACTCCTGCAGCCAACAGACGAGTTTTAAGAGTTCAACTTTAAACCAATTTAAAAAATGTTTCTAAATATTTTGATTCAGTTTGTTATTTTGCACAGACTGTAACCAGCAGCAAGCAGCACAGCAGGGATGAAGAGGATAAATGCCAGTCTCAGAGTGCTTCCAATAAAGGTCTGTAGAGAGTTCACCGACTCCTCCTGGTCAGGAGACTGACCGGAGGAAGAAACAGGCAGCAGGTCAATAAAAACATAAAAAAATAAATAAATGAAAAATTAACTCATGAACAATTAAAAAAAAAAGTAGCATAAAACAAATGAAAAACACACTTTAGACAAGCTGTTTACCAACTTATTAAAACTAATGAATTGATAAACAATGTTTTGAGTTTGTTCTTGGTGCAGAAGATGATTCCTGCTGTTGATGTGGAATTGATGGAGTAAACCTACCTGAACCTGAGCTACCATTGGCTCTGTTCCTGCACCTACTGTGACATCACTTCCTCTCTGATTTGTGATGAAACCTGTCAAATCCAGAATTGTTTAGAAATCATGCGTGAAAGTGTCAGGGTATGTTTTAGATGAGGGAATAACATTAAAAAAAATGTAAAACTAAAAATAGTTGATTTAATTTAATACTGCTCCTTTAAGCAGCCGCTCGCTCTCAGATCAGATTGCACCTACTTGTTATGGTGTCTGGTGTGTTGAACTTCTCCACATCTTCACGGCCCAGATGTTCGGCGATCACAGAGCGAGCTGCAAGATGGCGGAAAACAAAACGATTCAGGCCAGCAGCTGGAGATGTAACAGCCTACATCATCAGAGTCAGAGGTGGAGGAGTGAGCGTACGCTGGATGATGATGAGGTGGACGGTGGACGTTGGGTCGTTGAAGGGTCCGGGCAGATGAACTCTGCAGTGATAGAAACCAGCATCTGAGAGCCGAGACCCAGAGATGGACAGAGCGGAGGTGGAGAAGGACACCGAGAACCTGCAGAAGACAGAAAGACACCGCTTCACTCACTAGCATAAGAGAACGGCTGTAATCAGATCAACATTTTTCTTTCCTTAAAAAGTTTGAAATCTTCAGGCGCAATCAGAATTTTCCTGCTTTTGAATGCAACTGTGTGACTGTAGGGGCGTACCTGTGTGACTGTCGGTAGGTCACCTGACCCCCGGCGCCGTTGATCAGGGTGTTGTGGCAGGTAAACAGTGATGGCTTCCCCCTTCCCCAGCACACCTCCACTCCGCTCTGCTTCGCCTCGTCCAACCGACACGGGAGCTTCACCACCTGTCCGGCCACGCCCACCACGGTCTCCGTGGCAACCGCTGACACACGTAGCGTCACTGACACGGAAACAAAGGGATACTTCAGTAATTTTGCCATTTTGGGTTCTTCTGAAGTCTCATAATTGGGTTTCTGAAGTCATTAACTAATCCAGAACTGAATGAGTCGATCCGTGTGATTAGGAAACGCCTCGTAGTTAGTTTGTAAACTAAATATTTAGCTCAAATCTAAACATTTAGTTGGACACTAAATACCTTTGTTTAATTTTCAAACAAAATATTTAGCTTTTTAATGAAATGGTTTGAAACATAAATTTATAAATATGGTGGAACTATAACTAAAAAATGAACACTATTTTTTTCTCATTACAAAATAAACCCAAGTTTAAGATTTTTCTAGAAAATTTTAGATTAATCTCAAACTTTGAAAATTTTTATCTTAACACTCAAATTTATTTGTTTTTCTAAAAGAAGTCTGAGGTTAATTTAAACATTTCTGGGGTTTTTTTTTTTAAATGATGACTTTCTAAACTCGAATTTCCTTTTATTTTCTAGAAAAATTCTGCAATTAATTTCAACATTTCTGAATTTTTTGGCATAAATGTACTCCTGTTTTTTCTATGGCCGCAACATGCTGTCATATAATATTCTTGCACATAGGGAAAGGAGTCATGTTTTCAGGCCTAACCTCCTGCATATAGACAAGTTTTATGAAATTAAATCCTGATTTAATCAAAGCACCATTTAATAACCCCAATGGTCTCTCACCTGAAAGGAGCCAGACGGAGGTGAACAGCAGCATGTTGCTGTGTCTCCTGCAGACGGACAGAGAGAGACGGAACAGATGACTAAATTTCCTCACTTCCCTTTTCCATCCAAGCGGGTATTTATAGAGCCAGACTGTTGTTGCCAAACGGCCTGGAAGTTTAACTCAAACTGTCCAACATTCAGAGAAACATCATGAAACATGGCCTCCATCAACTGGTTTAAACTGGGGTGAGTGTGGCCAACAGGTGGCGCTGTGGGCTGCTCTCCCTGATAAAAGAAACATGGAGTAAATTTCAGTCAGACCCAATATTAAACCGAACGATCGCCCATTCTTTCCATCGGTGGGTCACGTGACCACGGAGGTTTAATATTAGTGTGTTTTATTTTTAAATCAATTAAGTCATATGTTTGGTTTACTTTATTCAGAGACTTAATAGAATGGAAATAAACTCATTAAATATTTAAAGGATGATGTGAGGTAAACTCAGTCTGAAGTGGAAACATGACATCATGCCGAGAAGTGCAGGCTCTGCACGTGATGGGGAGGGCTCTGCTCAGCCTCTGGTTTACCAGGAGGATTAAATAATTTTATGTCAAACTGAAATCCTGTTGGTTTACAGAAGATATATCGATCCTGATCCAGCTCACGTCGCTATTCACTCCCTCAGTTTTTATTTTGTGTTGGTTTATTTTATATCCTGAATATCTGGATCATCATCTGGTCCAAATTTTAATGTTTTACTTATTTAATCTGTATCTGTTTAAAATTTCCAAATCTCTCCATTGTTTTCTAACCAATCTTCACAATTTCCAAAGTAACTAATCAATGTATCTTCATTTTTATTTGGTGTTATTATTATCAATAATTACTTGTTTATTGATGTTATTATAATAAGTAATTATACAATTATTGATTTGGTCATTTTTGTAGGTAAAGAATGTTTCTTAGCCTCCGTTAATCACTTTGTTACACTGGAATCACTGGAAGGTTGATACAGCAGCAGCAGATCTTTAATGTATGAAATGTAGAAGGCTGACTTTGTAACAGTCTTTATGTGATTCTGAAGGTTCAAACACAGAGTTCATCCTGATCTCTAGTTTCCAGCTGGAATAACAAACTGTGAACTGACTCGAGATCGTTCCTCTTTAATAGCTTGTGTTTAGTTTCTGTTCAGCTGGAGAAAGTATTGGCACCCCTGCATCGATTTGGATGGGTTCAGAGTCACCTCGTGACATGAGTATAAAGAAGATTCATAAACAGATGGATGAGAGCCTGACTTCAACCTGATAGAAAACCTTTGGGTTCAATTAGCGATCAGACCTCCTCATCCAACATCAGTGTCTGACCTCATAAATGGTCAAAAATCTTCCCAGAATACCTGAAGTTGTCATAGATTTAAGGTGGAGCCTCTTTGGTCACATTCAAGGTCGGTCCTTCATCTCAAATGTTTCTCAGTTTGGTTCCTCTGATAAGGCAGTGCAGCACCGCTGGATGGGAATGTTTTTCTATATGGGCAAAATCTTTGCTTTGTGTCATTTTCTAATTTTTTTTCCTGTATGTTGTAATTAAATAAAAGTTAAAGTTCAGAAAGTAATGCCTCCTCTACTCCGTCATTCAGTGAAAACATTCGGGAGGTCAAAGGTCAGTTATTTTCAGCTTCTGGTCTCTAGAACATGATTTTGTGCCACATTCCTGTTTAATGGCATTCCTGCAGCTGGGAGGAAAACACTTCATGTATTTTTGTAGCATATTAAAGTGAGTTCATGTCGCGGTGGAGCTCCCATCATCTGCCTGCCCCAGATTCAGTTCAACCTTTATTTATAACCTCGGTCTGAACAGCAGCATGGAGGCAGACGTCTGTTTGTGGACCTAAAGCTCATCATGACACAGAAACAAACACTGCAGCTATTAGTTCACTTTGGTATTTACACAGAAGATTCAAAACCATCAAACAGCCGACAAAGCAGAGCGGATGGGAGTTCATGTCAGCAGATCACAACAAACATGGAGGACGGAGACAACCAGAGCCGAGACATTTTAAGAGTTTTATTAGACAGGAAGAGGTGACTCAGCTGAAAATTACAGAGTCATATTTCCTCTATTTTAGCTCAGAGTAAAAAAGCTTCCTGTTAGAAATTGGATGCCAATAAACAATTTTATAAAAGTAAAAATAAGTACATCTGCTTATTTGAGGATCCTATGGAGGTCTGAAGGATCAGCCAGAAGTTATGATATAAAATGACCAAAAAAAAACAAAGATAACATTTGACAATTTGGACAGTTTGGAGCCCTAACTGCTGCTATCAACACTGTAAAAAATAAAAGTGTGATTTAACAGCTGGATTTGGAAGCTCCATGAATGATCAGGACTTCCTCAAACACTTTGCTCTAAATCTGATGGTTGAAGAACCTGAACAGATTAAAAAACTATAAATCTCTGTTGTTGAGCTCATGTGGCTTTTTATTCAATAAATTAGCTCTAAAAGAAGTTTTGAATTGAAAATGTTGCTTATTTGGTTGATAAATGGTTTGATTAATGTGTGTTTAACTGATGACTTTTTATTCAGTTCCTAAAACTGAACCAAAGTCCTTCACAAAGTTCTGCTGGTCTGTTGATGTCTGTGATAATGCTAAACCGTCTGAAAGGATCCAGTGGATCCTAGGAAATATTTATAACTTATGGAGCCTCTGACTAACTGTGTGCAGCTGTGATGATGATGATGATGATGATAATAAGGAAATGAGGACCAGGTGTGCAGGAAGGAGCAGAAACCAGCTGAAACAAATCCACATAAAAACAGTATCACTCCCTGCAAGCTGAATATTCAGAAATAAGAAGTAAATTCAGAAATTCTGTTCATGTGTTGGTTTTAGCTCTGCAGAGTGAATCTAATTTAGCTCAGACCTTCTTCAGCTGGTTGCAGCCATAGAAGAAGAGTTTTTATTCTACAGACAGCGAAGATAAAACACACTGCAATATTTTAACTGAATTGAAATTTGATTATTCTATTAAAACCTGCATTTTTTCTGTGTGACGGTTTTCCAGTTGTAGAACTATGAATTGTTACATTGCTGAACTTGCTCAGGAAATCACTGATTACTAGATAATCAGGCTTGTTCTCATACTTTGATCATTTTTTAAATTAATGTTTCTATGTGGGGTTTTTTTTATGGATGTGACTTTTTATTTTTATTGAAAATATTTACTGTGAATTATTCTATTTTTAGTTATGTATTGAAATCTGTCATACATTATAGATCATGCATGTTATGTGTCTTAACTGTATTTTTTCATATTTATCTGATTTATTCATGTTGACTAAGTGCATATTTCTAGCTAATATGCACTGTCCCCATTTATGAAATAAATACAAATTCAAAATTCAAATATTTCAAATGAGTTCTTAGAGTCAAAGGTAAAACGCCAGTCAAAAAGAGGTCAAAGTTCAGCTGCTGGGAAACATTTAGTGTAACATTACTGGGTGTGTATGCATATATTTTGATCGTGAAACAATAATTCCCTGTTTTAACAGAACTGTTGTAGTAAAAACAACGGAACCGGCAGTGGATCTAAATGTAAATATTTATGTCTGAGTTATGCAGAACCTGAAAGGCTCAGTTTGTGTTTCATGAAGCAGCTTCTCCTGACCGACTGAATACTAAACTGCAATCAGCTTCAATTTGAGCGGCAGAACATCGTGTCGCTGCTGCTGCATCAACAACAGGAACACAGCGCCTGCTGGGAGGAGGAGGAGGAGGATGAAGGTCAGGGACTTGTTAACCTGGCCACGGAAACGAGGCCAACCTGCAGCCGGCTGATGTCAGGTTATTGGTGGTTGTCATGGCGACCTCAGGAAGCAGCTTGTGTTTAAATGTTTATTTCTTCCAGCATCTTAAAGACAGAAAAACAGCTTTGAGTTTCCAGAATGAGCTGCAGAGAAACTCTGGCTGAAAACTTTGGATCAAGCAACAAAACGTCCCACATGGAGGAGAAAACATTCTTTATTTTTCTTTCTTTTTTTTTTTTACCGAAAAACAGCAAAAAAAAAAAAAAAAAAAAAAAAAAAAAAAAAAAAAAAAAAAAAATTTCCCCCTTTTTTTTTAAAAAAAAAACCTTTTGAAAGGGTCAGAGGCAA